AAAAATTTCACCTTTGGCGGCCATTCCTGATCCGAAAGGGTCATAAATTTTATACAATTTCACACATGAAAATCAGAGTTTGGCAAACAATTTTGGCGGCAAATTCCTGATCCTAAAGAGTCATAAAAATCGCGCAGCTTTTTCCTTTTTATACACACAGTCCGGGTTATAAAAAATACACCTTTCTCAAAAGACGTGTCAATAAAAAAAAAAACAAAAAAAAAAAAACAAACAAAAAAACACCTAGACGGTCTTACATTTAATTTGACATTTATTTTTTTTTTAATTCTTTCTTTAAATAGAAATAAAAATTTTATAAAGGACATGCCACATAAAAAGAAAAGAAAAGAAAAACATTGCCGGCGGAATCTTTGTAGTACACCGTAATAACGGTATCAATAAAAATCGTCCTTCATGACACACCGTTCTTTTTTTCTTTTCTTTTTTTTTTTTTTTGCGAAAATTAAACTTTGCCATTTATTTCTTATTACTATACAAATGTCATTTTTACTGGAAACACATTTTAAGTTGCTTTCCTTATTTTTTAAACACTGAAATTAATAACCGGCCTAGATTGAGAAGTCTTACTAAAAAACTGCGCTTACGGCAGGAATCGAAACTACTTCTATAACTGAAACGTGCCTTTAACAATTTGATCATAGACGACGCATTGATAGAGCGAGGTTTGAATAAGTGGAGAAGCGCCAGACGGTCTTAGTATTATTTCTCGGAAACTTCGGAATAAACGAACAGAGTCAAAGGTATAAACAAATGTTTATTTATTTGACTTTGATTGGAGCAAGTCCTTTGTAATTCAGATTGGCGAAAGTTCGCTCGGCTGGGTAGTTGGTAGTTTAAAATTCAGACCTTTGTAGTAATCGTGAGTGTGGTTATTTTGGAGACTTGTTGGGGACGTCCAACTGTAGTGTATTCTCACCCCTCAGAAGGGCGGAAAATATTTAAGCAGATAACCGCTAGTTTCTTCACGGAAAAAAAATGTGGGTGATTTCTCTGGCTGTCCCTTCTTTGCTGCTGCCTACCGTCTGTCGCTTTATATACACTTAAGAAAGGCTCCAGACTACTTGGCGTAAAGCTTGGTTTCGTCTAACATCAAAAGTCTTTTTTTTTTTATTGGACAAAATTCTTTTGTATCTCTTTCTCTCCCCCCCTTTCTCTTTCTACCCTTCTCTCTATATACTTCTCTCCCAACTAATGAGAAGGCAACCCTAATATAAAAAAGAGGAAGAAGAAGAAAAGATTAAACAACGGCTGGAAACAGAAGTTTGTTGTCCAGGATCTAAATTTTGTGACTAAATCTATCAAAATAAGAGAGGCTTCACACAACTTCCGCAATAAAAAAGTAAAAGAAACACTAGAGAATACATAAAAGAAATTATAAAACAAAAATATTATTTAATTTCAAATGATTTTAGTTGTTCTTATGAATATGGATAATATTGTCTGAAAGCAAAAATACTTTTTCGGTGAAAAATGAATTTTTAAAATAATTATTTGTTATTTCTTAAATTATTTTATTATTTTTAAAGCTAAAATAAAATTAGTGAAAACGCTGTTCAGTTTAGTCAATAGTGTTATGAAGTAGATCTATCTTTTAGCATTATAAGTTGTATAGCTTGTAACAATCAGAAGAGCCACATGGTATAAAAAAAAACTAATTCCAAATGGCTTTTGTGTCCATAAAACGGCTGTAACTCAAATGTACGGAAGACCAGCAAGAATACAATAAAAAGTCGCGTTATTTGAGTTAAGCGTTGTTCTCTGCTGTTTGGGCCTTTATTTTTGCGAATTGTTCGTGTGAAGCACGTGTGGAGAAGTTAACTTGATTTTTCAATTGAGAAGGGTTTTTACAAGTAAATTAATTGTCCTTTCTTATGAAATTTAATTTCACTATCAACAGTCTTATTTTATTTTATTTTTATATTGTATTTTCTATAAAGCATCGTAAACGTAAAGGTGAAAGCTAAGTACAAAAAAAAAAAAAATTAGAGCTCTGAAAGTTTTCCTTAAAGATAACCAGGTAAATAATTTGGTTCACTTAAAACTAAATAATTATGTCACTTATGTCTGCCATTCCTTTTATACAGCTTAATGCGCAAATAACCTTAGGAAAAGTATGAATCCATCTCTTCTCCTCAGCTATGCATTGAATAGCAGGGTAGACTGGGTCCTATCACTGTGGTTGGCAACCAGTCTACCATAGAAGGAAATGGCTACCTACTATAGGAAAATCTGCCTAGTTCGTCATGAATCGAAACAGACCCGATCGTCAAAGCGTGTATCACGAATTTAGGAAAATTCGATAACGGATGATTCGGTAATTTTGACACGGTAGGAAAATTCGATAACTATGAAATGAAATTCGATGAAAATTGAAATAGGGCCATTCTGGAGTCCGGGTTTTGGGGGCTAAGCCACCTCTCTTATATTTTTAAATAACTGAAAATCGTGGGGTCCACATAAAACCCCACTATAACAATGCCAGGGTGGTACATGCAGAAGGGGAGGGGGTTTAGTAGGCTAGGCCTCCTTCCCCAATATTTTTTAAAAAGTATTATCAACTATGGGGGTCTAGAGAGAACCTCACTACAACAATATCAGAGCCATACTTTCAGGAGGGTGCTACCCCCCCCCCGTTTAAATAAGTATTAACTTTCTAGATGGGGAGTTTAAGGGACCCCCCCCCGATATTTTTAAATAAATATTTTTAAAATAAGTATTTAATTACTATACTCTATTGTTTTCAAGCAAACAAAATCGATTTAAAATTAAGTTCTTGTGTCTTCTTTTCAAATTATTATTTTAATAAAAAAACGTAGTTTTGCAGTTGGCTGCATGTTGGCGAAAAAATGTCCGCAAACAAAATTTTTCAGAAGATAAGTTGACAAGAAACTGAATACAAAACAAAAATGCAATAGTGTATCGTATGTACCAAATATAGCGTCGGGTCGATTCATTAAATGTAGCAGAAACACCAAATATATAGGTACTACTACTATTTATATTAATGATTCTTCCACGTACAGGATTCAAGAAATAATAACAACAACTATAATTTGTTAACCAACAAATATATATTGAATAAAATACAACAACAAGCATGAAATGAAATTGTGTTCACAATGTAGATTAAAGAGAAGGAAGTTGTTTCTCTTTGACTGTAGATTGATTGTAATCAACAGTTTAAAGAAAGTTCTCTTGTGAGATAAATGTTCCGAAATAATTGTTAGAGCAAAGTTTGCATGTGAAGAATGAATAACACAAAGAATACAATTGCTTGAAATGTGTTGTGAATAAACTGGTTTGAATCAACAAAGTTCTGGTTGATTGTGCTTGGTGAAAGTTACAGAGAGAAAATGTAAGTTTGTAGTTACGAAATTCTGTGTCTGTGTGTGCGTTAGCGTATGATGAGCAAGATCGTGGATTTGTGTTGACGGCTTGGATCTTACTGGCGACTTTCGAAAAGTCGTTCTATTTAAGGAAAAGAGGTAGGCTCACACGGAACCACGGGAAAACTTGATCTTACATTAAAAATATGTGGTTGGTTAAAAATTAACCAATCATTACAAACGTACTAAACAGAATAGGTAAGTATGCTCAGAACCAAAAGATTCAAAGGAACGACTGCGATGGCTAAATTGTCCTATACAAAGGTAGTAGTAATTTATTAGCCTATCGTAGGCGAATAAAATGACTTGGAGTGTATGTGGGTGTGATAAACATAGCAACTGCTAATGTATTTGATTAATATAAAGCCAAATTTTATTTATGGCAACAAAACCAAAATTACAAAGATTAACGAAACAAAAAACCCAAAAAAAACTATAGCCTCATTTCTATTTAAAAAAAAAATATATATATATATATATAGGGAAGGGGGCTTACCCCCCCCCCCCCGAAATCCCCACTCCAGAACGGCCCTAAAATCAATTTTCATAGGACATTTATTTCATAGTTGTTACCGAATTTCCCTACCTTGTCAAAATTACCGAATTTTCCGAGCTCCGTGTATCACATATGACACTTACTTTTTAACTGACTGAATACAATCTCATCTCTAGTGGGCATTAAAAGGAGTCCCAAGGTGAGGTAATCCAAGATCCTTCTTTGAAAAAACTAAACAGACTACTTTACCGTAGTTAGAGGGTTCAGACTGCCTTACGATTTTACTTATGACTAGGGAGATCAGGTTTCATGCCTTGCATAGGTGAATGCACACAGAATTTGAATTGAACTCAGCTATTTCTGCACAGATAATCATTTATGCGAACCGCACCTACTATGTCCTCTAAAAAATAGTATTTTTTTTAAAGTTAGACTATATCCTTGTTTTTATTTTATATATATCACAAGAAAATTAATTAATAACTTTTTTATACGATGTAATATTTTCTTTTCCACTCATTTAAAAGCTACGATACCCACAGTGACAAAGCGTACCAGAAGTACCTAGCCATCAATTTGTCTTCTTGAGTAACGTTGATTTTACAAGGACGTTTACTAAAGTGACTGCACTTGATAAACTGAAAAAAATTTTTTTTCGTCTTCGTTTTGACTTTTGAGGAAGATAAGTTTTAAATTTCTTTTCCTACAAGGTTTCAATAATAAATAATTAAATTAAAATTCAATGTTTTTAAAATGTATTTATTATTATATTTAAAAAAAAAAAAAAAAAAAAAGATTAAATAACCTGGAAGGTGACTGTTTTTAGATGAATGTTCAAGAAAAAATATTTCAGGTTTAAAAAAAGTATTAGTCGTGGAAAAAAGGGAGATTTTGAACGACAATTAAGAAGAGAGAGAAAAAATAGAGAGAAAGGAAATCAACTCTTCGCTTCCCCCCCTCTCTCTCTCTTCGTCCTTTCTCGCACCCTTCCTCCTCCTCCCTAACTATGTCTACTCCTACTTTGACTACCACTTAGCATCGAAACTTTAATGTTTTCACTATCCTCAGGTATGGCGCTTATTCAAACTTGTCTCGTGATGCTTTGGGGCTTCATCTTGTACTTTTCTCTGTTCTGTACTGCTTTTCCAACGGTTGTTTTCGATAAAGAGGGAACTGCAGATATTTCAACTCTTCAACTTGTGCATTTGGTAAGTTTTGTTAGAGTTTATTTATTTTATTTGTTTGACCATATAAAAAAAAACACCTTTTTTCGCGACGTAAAGAAAAAAAGGCCCGTGTCAAAAAAAACAGTGTTGAAGCAATGTTTGTCAAGTCAAGTTGAAAGAAAAAAAAGTAAATATTTTTTTAGCTTCATTGTTTTTCTAACGAGTTCTTATTTTTATTTATTTACTGTTTTCAACTAAAAAAGAAGTTATGTATTCGTGTCGTGAATTGTTTTAATTTTTAAAAAACTTTTTTTTATCCTGTTTCGCCGTATTTTTGCTGAGTTAAACAACAAAAACTTCGTTTTATTGCGATTATAATCGCATCCGTTTGAGATACTTTTTATTAATTATAAGAATTTTGTTACCCATAATTTTAAAAATCAGTAACTTTGCCTTTTTGGTCGTATTTTATTTTTATTCATATTATTCATATATTTTACTTATTTTTGTTTAGTGACGTTTTAAAAGTGTGACCTTTAACCAGGTCTTAATAAAACTTTTTTTTAAATTAATTAATTCTGTGTTGTCAAATTATTTTGTCCTCGTTTTTAAACCCAAACAATACATATTCCCTTGAAGTGAATTAAATCATTATTTGAAACTACTTGAATAAAGTCTTTTAAAATTTTAACTGAGGGGAAACTATTTTTTCTGCTTTTATTTATATTTTCATACGTGTATAGGAGGAACTGCTGAAAAGTTCTAGGCCTAATCCACTACCCCAAATCTGACTAAATATCTTTTTTAAGGACTTTTTGGTCGGACTGAGAACTTGTCCACAATCCCCCCCCCCTCGCCCACAACGTGTGTTGAGAATGAAAGAAAAGGTGGGGGTGGGCAAATAAACTTGATGTATTGTAATTTTAAATGTTTTTTTTTCTGTAAAAAATAAAACTTAGCCATTCCGTTTTTGTTTTGAGAAATAAATTGTCAATAACAGAATCGATTTTTTAAATTTTATTTTATCGCGTATAATCCTGCTGAATATTTTGATAAGTCAAGTGCTTTAAAAGTAACTAAAAGAAAAAACTAAGAGTCTAAAAGACAATTTATTTAAGTAACAAAAATGATATAGTTTCTTTATTGCAAAAATGAAAGCATCCTTTTATTTTTTAACAATTATTGCACTGCAAGGAAATGATCAGATTACGAAGATCGACCACTTGCAAAGTTTACTCTAGAGTTTGAGTTACCGTATTGGCCGGCAGATTTCACGCACCCAGATTCTAACGGATACATAGGCAAAAACAAAACAACAAAAACAGAAATATGGTACTTGTTGGTAAATGAAGTTCCATACCAACCATACATGAACAAAAAAAGCAACTTCCAATACCCGTATCAACAAAAACACACACAAAGCAAGCCTAAGGAAATATTTCTGTAAAAACTTGGTATTTCTACAAAAGTAAAACAAACAGCAAAATATTGTGAAATTCCATAAATTCTCTTAATTTTTTTTTTTTTTTTTTTTTTTTTCATGGGTAAATTTTTTGGGAATATTTCTTGATATGTTTGTTCACTTCTAGGAGTCCTAGTTTCAGACCTAATCTCTCTGCGTGCACTGATTCCTGGTGAACCCCACTTTTTACGTAGTCTTTTTTTTTTTTTTTTTTTTTTTTTTTTTAAAGCATTGGCGTCTAATAGGCCGGCAAATACAGTATGTTTGATTTAACAAGCTATTGTTCTTTTGCGTCGTGTCTCTTCAGGATGTGAGCGATAATAAATATATGACGCCTTGCTTGTCCTTACTACGCTCCTAATCACTGTTAGTGTTCTGTCATCCATTTTACAAGCTCGTTAGGTAGGTTACTCTATGTTTTGGTTTCCCTATGCACCTCTTGCTTTTAACATCATATGTCTTGTAAGTGTCAATTTCTCCAACCCGTCTTCCCTCGTTATGTGGGCTTTAGGGCCATATCACGTTGAAACACCAGTTCTCGTACTATCACCGAAGCAACGTGGAGCCTGGTCAGTACCTAGATGGGTGACCGCTTGGAAATAACGGATTCTGTAAGCTTGAATTTGCAGGTGGTGTAATGGATAACGGTTTGGAATTGTTAATTAGAGAGTAGTTTTAATTCAAGTTTGGTTCGTAATATTCACTTACACGGAAATACTCTTCTTGGGAAAGTTATAAATCCACCCTCTTCTCCCCCAGCTATGGGTTAAGTAATAGGACGTGAATCATTATTATAACCAAAAAAGTTTTACAATAAAAGTATTTTCCACCTTGAGAACACCTGTAGTGTAATGGGTTGATAAGTCGTAAAAAAACAAATCAATCCCCCTCAGTATTATATGTGTCCCGTAAATTTCAACTTTCTCTTTCTGAGTCTGTGTTCTTTTTATTTCTATTTCCCTTAAAACTTCCTCGTTGCTTACATGTTTTGTTCATGATATTCTCAGCATCCTTCTGTAGAACCACATATTTGTTGCCTCATGTCTCCTCTTCATCTGTGAGGAAATTATCCAGCATTCACTGTCATATAGGAGGACCGATATTGCATAACAATCCAGTACTCTTTTATTTATTTTTAATGAATTTTTCTTGTTTCTTAATACTTTGTTTAGCTTTTGGAAGGTATCTTTTGTGATTCTAATCTTCCTTTGCATTTCTGTGACACCTTTTCTCAAATAGTTACTTAAAGTGATGCACTTAAAGTGAGATATATATATATATATATATATATATATATATATATATATATATATATATATACATACCCTGAATAAGTCATCAGTTTCCAGTTTAAATAGCTAGATCAAATCTTACCCAGATATCTTATGGTCTTGTTTCAGATTAAACTGAAGTATATGACATTTGTATAAATCTCTAAGAAAACGTATACCTGCAGAGAACACTTTATTTTAAATAGTTTTCTACTTTACATATAAGTGCTTCACTTATCTTTAAACGTCTTTTACAATTTGATGTTATTAATATTGTAATGTTATCTACAAGTATTTTTCTTTAAAAAATTATCAGATGATAATCTGAATATGCTTTGCTAATTATAGTGCATTCAGATTACCATGAGGATTCTTGAGGCCATTTATATTAAGTCTAAACAGCCATCTCTTTGTAATCTGCAATTTATATTTCTGATTCCCTGGTAGTAATTTTTTCTTACACACTCGCCCCTTTTGTTCTCAATTGGTGACTGGTTAGCCGATTTTTCTTTTTCGATTTTTAAAATTAAATACAAAATAGTTCAATTTAGAAACTTGTAATCTAGGGAATGTTACTGAATAGAATAATTACACGAAGGTTGGTAATGAATGATGATACTTAGGACACAAACAACACGTATAAGATTTGCCAGCGGCGCGTAGAAGTAGTAGTCGACTGCTAGAAGTGAGTCAAGTGAATTTCATAATGAATCTCCAACTGCAGGATCTCTACTAACCGCCCCACGCGGTCAGATGCGACATAAGGCCGAATTTAATGTGGGGTTCCCGATCCCGTACGCCCGGCCAAAGTTCCCTGTATAAAAAGTCGGGTAGCTGTTTCCCGAAACGAGACCATGTCCTTCGACATAGCTTCGTCTGGGGATCCTCTCTCCCGGAGGCAGAGAGTTTGACCAGCACAGCTGGAGACGAATCTCCGGCTCCAGACTAACATACAGTATTTACTACTATATTTTTATGTGAATGGAGACATACCCATTATCGTCTATAGGTATGCTACAACTGAAATATATATATATATATATATATATATATAAAGAATTATCCCAAAATTTTGTTTCGTCTTTTAAATTAGGACAAAATTTTCTATTATTATTAATAAAAATAAGTTGGATGTGTTGACTTTCTCTCTAATTTCCCTCAGGGTAGAAACACTTCAACCGAAATTGACAAGTTGCGTTGAAGATCAGAGAGAAAGAGGGAATAGGATAGGGGGAGAATACATTTTTATTGCCCGGGAGATGGCCGAACATCAAACTCACTTATTTTGAAAAGTAATGTTCATTTTCTTTCTTTCTTCACTGATCTTTTCTTCCTCTCTCGACTAAAAATGTTTTTAGATGCGTCCATGCATCTCTACAAGAGTTTTGGTTTGTCTGTCGGTCTAGACTACACGTTAAAGCAAAGAGTTTGGGCACATCAAATACCCATAAAAAAAAAACGAAACTAAACAGAATAGAAAGTGTCTGGTAAGACGACATTGATGTCCATTTCATGCCACCCACACATCTAACCACCCAATGAAAGAAGAAAAAAGTAAGTGAAAGGAAGAACTAAGTAAAAAGTATTTGAGAGAATAAATATCAATTCAAATGACTGATGCGGTGTTTATTATTTAAAATTACAAAAAATATTAGCCTCCTGTACCAACCCATGCAGGAAAATTTCTTTCTGGAAACCATTTTTGAGCCCTGTTAAATGTTCTTTGAACAGTGAACTGAATACTAAAATACAAATGTATCCGTTTGTTACTTAAAAAAAAAAAAAATTGTACTCATAGTTTTAAGATGATAAAAAAAAAAAAGTACGTTAACAAAAATACGAAATGTTTAAAAGATAATATATCTATTGTACTAATTACCATCTAAAAATTCATTTTAACAAAAAATGATTCGCTTTTTCGGTTACTGACAAAATATATTGGTTACATATTTTTATGTCGTTGTTTAATATCTACCAAAAACAAATTCCTTTTTGTGCAGTGTATCACTTGATGGGGAAACTGAGTCATTCACTGGGATTGGGGAAGTTATTGCGTCCTTTAAGATTTTTATGCGTCAAGGCACAAAAATCCATCAGATTTATTTATAAATAATAATAGCTGGCCACTTGTATTCGAGGATACTCGTCTATTAGGGAAGCTAGTCAATCCCTATTGCTCAGGCACATTTGTGTTTGCTTAACACCCACAGAGCCCACCTGTGGTTTATACAGCAACTATGCTGAGCAGACCTTAGTTACAGTTTCTGGGAGAGAGTGGGATCAACAATTTGAACAAAGCCAGCACGCTC